CTCTTGAAATGGTTGAACATTAACCATTTCCTTTTGGTACAATGACTCTGTGTATTCCTTCCATCTTTTCCTGATGCATTCTGCATCATTCAATAATTTGCCCAGTGAATCTTTCAATAAAGAAAGTCGAGGCTTGAATTATTATGAGTTGGAACCGACACAATGGCACTTAACAACAACAACAATATTCTTTCTTTGACAAACATTTAAATTGTGGTGAAAATGTGCACACAAAAGCATTCACCAGTATAGCAATTTCTATATTTATAAAGCAAGGTCATATGTTATTAATATTATTTTAAAAAACAACAACAACCATGTTCTCACTCTTGGAAAATTATTTGTGTTATCTCTCTCTTCATATATCCAGCATATTTACATACCTGCATAAAGAAATGTCTATTACAATTATCACCAAATATTAATCCTAATTATTTCTAGATGGTGAAATTTTGGATGTTTTTCTTCTTTGTTTTTTTCTTTTAGCTTATTTTTAAAATGATGAGCTTACATCACTTTATTGACTTATTTTTAAACTTTTTATTGTGATTGGGTGAAGATTTACAGAGCACATCAGTTTTCCATTTAACAAATCACACACATTTTTTTCATCCCAGTGATTGCTGTCCCCACAATGAAACATCACTTATCCCACTTTCTCCCTGTGTTTCCAATTTCCAGTTCCTCTTCTTTTCCTTTAATAAAATGGAGAAAGATATTAAAATAGAGAAGATAATGACAGAAAGAAACTTTGTACCAATAGGTATTAATATTCATATTATGAAAAGAACTCCTATCAAATAATAGGAAAAAATATATACTCAGTTAAACAGTTGGGATGATATAAGTAGATAACTTATAAAAACATATATGAATGTCCAACAAACTCCACATCATGAACATGGTAAATATGAATGTACTGACAAGAGAAATTCTTTATGATCTATTATTAGGTGAAAACCAATTGCAGAGAACAGCAAATAATAAAAATGATGACAGTTACGGAAACATAAAAGTTGCTATATGTGTATATATTTAAGATAATAGATATTCAAATACAGAGAAAAAAGGCTAGAATGATATTTATGAAAATAAGCAGTGTTTATCCTTGGGGGAAGAAGTGGGATTGGAGAAGAGCATGAAGGAGGACCTTGGTGTATTCTTCTATGTAGTTTCATGTTGCTCGAATCATTTGCAGTGAGAATGTATTTATTCACTATTAGTATAATTTCAAAAATGTAAAATAAAGTGGGGTCAAGTAGCCTGTTGCTGACTCATCATGTGACAGAGTGAACTGCTCCATAGACTTTTCTAGTCTGTAAAGTCTTCAGGAGCAAATGCCAGACTATTTTCCTGCAGAGTTGCTGATGGGTTCAAACCACTGACCTTTGGTTAACAGCTGAGTGCTAAGCTGTGGTACCACCAGGGCTCTTTAGACTAGCCTGTTGTTGTTGTTGTTATGTGTCATGGAGTCGGTTCTGACTCATAGTGACCCTGCACAGGGTTTCCGAGGCTGTAAATGTTTACGGGAGCAGAAAGCCTCATCTTTCTCCCTTGTAACAGCTGGTAGTTTCGAACTGCTGACCCTGAGGTTTGCAGCCCAATTCATAACCACTACACTACCAGAGCTCCTTTTAGACTAGCCTAAAGCCCACAAACTAACAATAAATATGGTTTAAATAAGACCAGAGCTGGGACAAAATGTGGATATGGTGACAGAGAACATGGAACGGGGTAGGCGGGGCAAGGGGAATGTTTAGTGTATTAGACATGCAACATTGGGTAACAATCAGTTGTTTTGTGAGACATGCCAACTGCAGATCATATACTCTTACTCTGTGTACTCATTTAGGAACAGTTGGCATGTTATATTTGAACTGACAGGGCATACTTAGAGGTGAAGGAGAGAGGAAGATTGGGCCTCAAAGGTGTAGCATTTGAGGGAAATATCTTGGCCCCCTCTCCCACCTCTTTTTCAATTTGTGGATAATGGGTTTGAAAAGTTAGTGGTGAGGGAGCCAATAAGTATTGTTATAAAATGAGACATCTTTATTCAACAAAAATATCAAAAAGTGAAACTATTGTTTCTGGACATATCCTTCAACTCTGAATGTGGTGTTTCGATCTCTCGAACCCTTTCTGGAAGAATTCTGCACTTTTGGATTTACACCACATCAAAACAGCAGTTTTGGTATCCTCGAAGGACTCAAATATATGTCCTCTGAGTACAAGGAACAAAAAGAAGTCTAAAGGGGGCAAGATCAGGGCTGTAGGGTCGATGGGGTAAGGCTTCCCAATGAAATTCTCACAGGACAGCCCTTGCTTTCCTCGAAGAATGAGTAGTAAGTGCATTGTTGTGGTGGCAAAAAATTCCTCGGTGCAACTTTCCTGGCCTTTGTTTTCACCAATGCAGTTTCAATGTCCTTAAAATGTGTTCTGACCCCTGAGGAATCCCAGAAAATGGTTGTTATAACCTCTGACCTGACCGCTCTGCCTTGAATTGAACTGACCTGGCAGATCTCTTCAGAAGCCACCATTTTGATTGGACCTTGCTTTTGAAGGCACCCTATGAATTGGGCTGCAAACTGCAAGGTCAGCAGTTCAAAACTACCAGCTGTTCCATGGGAGAAAGATGAGGCTTTCTGTTCCCATGAAGATTTATAGCCTCGGAACCAACTCCATGGTACCTCACCACCAAGGAGACTAACAGGAGCCCTGACAGTGTAGTGGATTACAAGCCGGGCTAACCACAAGGTCAGTAGTTTGAATCTACCTGTTGCTTCACAGGAGAAAGATGAGACTTTCTGCTCTCATGAAGATTTACAGCCTTGGAGACCCTATATACAGGATCACTATGAGTCAGAGCTGACTTGATGGCACACATCCACCACCTCCACCAAGGAGACTAAGACACATGTGCTACTGAGAGAAATTGTTCTGCAACCGTTCACTGATTGCAGAGACATGTTTAAACATGTCTTGTTTGGCACAAACCCATGCTTGTATGAACAGGAACTCTAGTAGTAATCCTTTTTTACTTACCCTTGTAGGGTCCATACTGTGGAAGACCACTTCGCCCATAGAGATCTTTTGTTTTTTTGAACATCAAAGGACAGTATTTTTGAGAATGGCTTTCTAGTAAAGTATCTACTGTGAAAGGTGCAGTTGTCAATGGGGCTCCATGTGTATCTTAGCTATGAGTCAGCCCCAGAGGACTCACCACACTCTCTTCTGTTCTCTTTAGGGCATCGATTGAAGAGAAATATGGCAAAGACCTGCTCAGCCTTTCTAGGAAGAAGCCATGTGGACAATCTGAGATCAAGTACGTACCGTCTTTCGTTCTGGCTTCCAGGTTTACTACAACTCCTCCGAGAGTCTCATGATGTCAGCAGACAGAGTTGGCCAGTAGAATGCAGTGTGTTGGGTGAAAAAAAAAAAAAAAAATCAATCAAGCATTTTTTTTTCTTATTAAAAATGGTAAACAATAAAGAAAAGCAGAAAGAAGGTTAAAAATGAGCTTCATAGCCACAACTCTACAAAGACATAATGTTATTAATGTTACAACTTTCCTTCAAGTCTTTTTCTATTCATACTTATTCATGTTCTTGTTGGTAAGTACTGTCGAGTCAATTGTGACTCATAGTGACCCTGTCTAAGGTTTCCAAGGAGTGGCTGGTGGGTTTGAACTGCCAGCCTTGCAGTTCAAACTGACCTTGTGGTCTGGTGCATTATCATATAGTGCCCCACCAGGACTTCTGGTGTAGCACTGTAGGATCAGCACTGGACTTAGAACCACAAGGTCGGCAGTCCAAACCCACCAGCTGCTCCTTGAAAACCCTATACAGGGTCACTATGAGTCAAAACTGACTCAATGACACTTAACAAGAGTCATACTTATCCATAGGTGTTGTTAAGTGCCATCAAGTCAGTTCCGACTCATAGTGACCCTGTATAGGGTTTCCACAGAGCAGCTGGTGAATTCAAACCGCTGACCTTGTGGTTCAAACTGACCTTGAACCACATTAGTGCATTATCCTGCAGCACCACACCACACTACACCACACAAGGTAGGATTATATTATTTATAACTTTATGCTAGAACTTTAATGGAGGCTTTATTTTTTCTTGTTTTATACACCTACAAAGGATTTATTTGTGATATCTGTGAGAACTTGTCTTTGTACTATGTTCTAGTTCTCCTCACTAATGATTGATTCTTCAGCCTCTCATTGTTTACTCTGATGATGCGGAAATGGTCAGGGCATACGTGTATTAGGATCACTCTGCCTCCTATGCATGAGCCCCCAGTTAGAAAGGCTTCATACATGGTTTAAGCATTGTTTTTTTACCATTTAAAAATTCTCAATGATTTAAAAACAAGGAGTTCTGCATTTAAATTTTACACCAACAAAATAAAAACAAACCTACTTCTATCAAGTCAGTTCTGACACAGCCTTATTCTGACACATGGTGATTCTATGAAACGGAGTAGAACTGTCCATAGGATTTCAGAAGCTGTAAATCTCCACCGAAGCAGATGGCCTCATCTTTCTCCGTAGTAGTAGGTGGTGAGTTCATACTGCTGACCTTTCAGCTGGCAGGCCAGTACTTAACCACTGTGCCACCATAGCACAAATTATATACTTGGTTTTGCTTATAAGAGACTTTCTGGATTTCTTCACCCACCTGTCACGGAGTATCTCAGGAGGAGGAGTTCAGGCCCTTGCTCTGCACACCTATTCACACCACATACTTTTCTGTGTGCTCCTTTGGCTGCAGGTATGTGCAGCGGTGAGTCCCCTCAGACATCCTAATGGGAGCAGACAGGACACTGTCCTTCTCTTCTCTCACTTTTCCAACTGCACATGTGCACACACATACACAAACACACTCACTCTGAACGCAAAGAAAAGCATTGGATTACTGAGAAGGAGGAAAGCAGAGAACACTGGGAAATATTTACAATATTAATACTGTTATATAAGACTAGAACCTTTTACTCTTCGAGAACATTAGTTCAAGGAGAATTTGCTTATTGGTTATATTTTCCTTGACAATGAAGATGAAAGATGAAGGTATATACAGAACAGTTAGATGATTGATATAATGAATACCTATATACCTGCCACCAAGATTTTAATTATTAACATTAGTCATATTTGCTCAATATAATTATTTTGTGAAAGTGTTTTAAAAATTTTTAATGAAAATGTTCTAACATACACAAAAAATAAAAAAAGAGTACACAGCAAACACTCATGGAAGCAGCAGCCAAGAAATCAAATGACATCAAATCTGCTGCACAAGACCTCTTTAAAGTGTTCAAAAACAAAGATGTCAGTTTGAAGACTAAGGTGCGCCTAAGTCAAGCAATGGTATTTTCAGTAGATCCATATGCATGTGAATGTTTAACAGTGAATAAAGAAGACCATAGAAGAACTGATGCATTTGAGTTATAAATAAGAATATTGAACATACCATGGACTGTCAGAAGAACAAATTTGTCTATTCCAAGAAATCTTCTTGGAAGCCAGCATAATGAGACTTTGTCCCTCATATTTCAAACATGTTATCAGTAGGAGCCATTCCTTGGAAAGGACATCCTGCTTGGTAAGGCGGAGGGTCAGCCAAAAAGAGGAAGATCCTCATCAAGATGGATTGGCACAGTGGCAGCAAAAACGGGCTCAGGTATAGCAGTGATTGTGAGGATGACCCAGGACTGGGGAGTGTTTTGTTTTGTTGTGTGTAGGGTCACTATTTGTTTCAGCGTTCCAACACCATCTCGTGAGCCCTCTTGGCCCGGTATTCCATGTTGTTATTGATGGAGCTCCTCACTACACATCTACCCGATCCACCATCTTGAAGATGCAAGGCCTGGTAGTGTAGTGGTTAAGAATCTGGCTGCGAACCCCACGGTCAGCAGCTCGAATCCACCAGGCCCCCCACAGGAGAGAGATGAGGCTTTCTGCTCCTTGCAGTTAAAATGGCCTTGGAGTCTGGTGCATCAATCCACAGCACCACACTAGGATGCTGCTTTGAAGATCTCGCTGCTTCGATGATCTCGCTGCAGTGAGATGTTTGGAAGATTGGAGCATCGGAGTGTTTACAGCTGGGGAATTTGCAGGAAAATCCAGAAAG